TGAATTTCCCTCGGGATAAATAATCTATCGTTATCTATCTATCTATTCCTGCAACTCCTTTAGTATACCATGCATTGATACAGATACTGAGTGGACAACACAAACAGCAGCCTCAGTACTGATCATACAGTGTAATATACAGCTGTCTGGCACAGTGTCAGCAAACACTGAAGCTTACAGGCTAACCATCTCTAAAGCAGTAGACAAATGAGCTGTAGAGCTGTTTTACTGCACAGCAAGAGACGTTCAAGTTACTGCCATCGGTGTTCACCGTGTGAATGGTGAGGCTGAGGCCATTACTCAGCTGTGACCTTTCACACAATTCGAAGGTAACACAGTAGGCACGGTCTAAATGTCTTATTTTACTCATTTAAAGCTTCATTTAACATGGAACACAGACCTACGTTGAAAAGCGACACAGACACACCCAACTGATATCTAACCTATAAGTTAAATGACATCTGCGCCAGTTAGCCTTTGATACATGATACAAGCCGTTTAAGCTCTAACATGTCTCGTTGAAGTTTCTTTTATCAGTTATATGTCTATTATCTTGTCGTTGTGTTATTAATGTTAATTTGCTTTAACTTTTCTACTCCTGACCGGCATGACAACGCCGTGAATGGGGACAAATACATGATACATAACAAGCTAGCTCCCAGAGCTTCCAGCTGGCGTTAGCTAGTTAGTTACTATAGTACACTGCCGAGAAACTGGGTCAACTGTTTCGGTTTCGTTACTTACCGTGGATGTGGGTCGTTCCTCACAAATAATCCTCTTTCATCCTGGCCCCTCGGCTTTTCGAACCTGTTCGAACTAACTAACGTTAGCTACCGACGTTACTACGCGACTGAATGTTAGAAATGAGCGAGTTATGCTAAGTTAAGTGAAGGGGACGGCACTAACGTTATGTGTTAGGAGCGAGCGCAGATTTGACAAGCAGCTGTTTTTGTCCGTGTAATTGTCAGCACTGGCGGTAATAAGAACAGTAAAGGTTGGATAAGATTCCAACAGACGTTGAGAGGTGTCTTTCGAACTTTCCTTTCACCACAATGCCAGATACTTTGTTTCCTACCCATCGACCTTTCAACACGCACAAGTATCGCGGTGAGACGTTTCAGTCCCGTTGTTACGTCACTCAGTTCTTCTTCGCTCCAACCCAAAGTGAAAGGTGCAATCTTTGGTGTATGCCGCCACCTACTGTACGCCATATTGTTTTTCCTAGGGTGGTGAAGTCCTTACCCAACTAAATGTATAACAGTTTCAATGTTGTTGTGTTTTATTTGCTTTTCTCTTCTGCCATACACGCATATATGTTTATATATACACTAACACTGAAGGCTTGGGCGCATGTATATTGTTTAACTGTTTGGTATGCAAGTTATTGTTCCCTCATTGAGTTTGTAATCTGCATTTGTTCAATTAAGATGAAAAAAAAAAATTAAAAACAAACTCTGCCATTCTGAAAAACATAATTTCATGATCTGTTATGGCCACATTTTAGATTAAGCGAAGAATGGTATTTGTTGGTTGAGTGTCATTCCCAGGTTGTTAAATAC